AATACTATTATGTAGCCTTTGCGAGCAAAAAGGATTAGAGAGATTAGCGATTTGCCCAACCGGAAGATAGCGGGGAAAAAGGGGGCGGGAGGCCGGCGGTACACAAGCTGCTGTCTTTTTTTTCCTTCTTTTTTTTTTGTTCAGCGGCATTGATTGCATTTTGTTTTCGGCATCTGTGTACAGATGTGGAATCGTGAAGCGTTTTTTGGAAAATGTGGTTATTTAACCTGCGATAAGATATTAAACGCTAAAAGGGCATACTTCCTGTTTTGAATTCCACGGATAACAATGTGAGATTGTGCCAGCCGTCGCACTTGATGTCATTTTAGTGCACAGTAATTGAAGCCCTTACTCATAATCAGAGTAATCGGATTCCATGCGCTCCGTTAATGGGGGATTTCAACACAAACAGGCGCACACACACCGCATGTGGAATTGTGTCCAAATCATCACTCTGGCTAATTTGAATAATCATTGAATTAAATTTGCCTGTCATACCTCAGCATCCTCGAAGGCAGGTTTGGTGGTAAAAACACAGCCTCCCACTCAGCAAAGCTCGCTCACAGATGGTAATGGTAATGATGTTTGGTCGTGTGCCTGTTACTTTTCAAAAGTTAAAGTGGGATGATTCTATTGACTTTGGCGAGTGATTAGTTTTATGGAGGTGAAAAAGTAATTAATTAATTCTATTTCATCCTCATCTATTGTTACCCTCCACTGTAGAGCTCCCTCTTGCCCGGCTCAGGAGAGTACAAAAGAGCATCGAGTGTGACAAAGCTTCAGCACCGATGATTCAGGGGGAGAATTACTTAGAGGCCCCCAGGCGACGCATTCGTTTTTTGTCCTTCTCTGCAGTCTCATCGCACACTTTAATACTACATGGCTCGCCTTCACTGAGTCTTGTGATACTCTGCTCTGACACAAAGGGCCTGTCTCCGACGTGACTGGAAGCAAATCACAACAGCGTTTGAAAGAGAAGCACTTGTTTCCCATTTTTCTTCCAGTTTAAACGGATGTCGGAGGTTTATCTGAAGTGAATTTTACTTGATTGCAAATATTTAATGCAGCGTTTTGCCTCACTTTTTGGATTTGTAAGTAAGATGTGATTGCCATTCAATTTCACACCCTTGACTGTGTCGGTTGCTAGGAGGCAATCACTTACTTCATAGCGGGAGCTTTGCTACTGAACCAACTATTTGTTGTTGGAGCATCTGAGGCATAAACATTAATCCTAATAGCAGGGGAAATGCTCGTGCTTCATATTAGGATCCAAAGACTTCTCTTTGCATGAAGCAACAGACCGTCACAAGTTATGACCGACAAATCTTTAAAGCCATCACAAGTGTTTTCCTATCTAAATAAATTAGCGTGTTTGTGTTTGCTCAATTCCCGCTTTGCTCTCCTTTGCCCTGCATGATTTTCACTTGTTCAGTCAACGTACTTCTTCTTCAAATATATTGAAATGCTATTTTAGAACTTTTACGTCTTTGGCAAGCTGTTAGTCAAATGTTTCCTTTCAGGGCTGCAGTGTAATCCAAGTCAGCCGTGTGGATCTCTAGCCTTCTGACCACGGGGCTGCACAGTCACCCTGTCACATCCATGCACCCAGTCAACTCACACATACCACAACTCTCTCTCTCTCTCTCTCTCTCTCTCTCTCTCTCTCTCTCTCTCTCTCTCTCTCTCTCTCTCTCTCTCTCTCTCCCACCTTGATATCAGATTCCCCTCGGAGTGGGGGAAAAAATGAGAGCCTGAGCTACAGCGACTGAGAGTCACAGCGGCTTTATTAATTATGCTGAAAAAACTGTCGACGTAAACTCTTTGTTCTCCCTCCTTTTGATTCTGGTCGGGTAATGTTCCTAAACGCCGCTTTCTTCTGCACAGAAATATGTGCTTGATGGGGCAAAAATAAATGCTTCTCGTGACAGACGCCAGCAGTCCCCCTAAGCCCCGTATAAAGAGGACATGTGACACCCTGTCCTGCAAGAGCTTGTCTGTTAAACCAAACAGATCCTTAATGATCATGGCCATTACCGTAATGATCCAATAGAAGTGCATAATAAGGCCATTTGCTTTGGATCAAGGCGGCCTGCACATTTAATAGTTGAAGAAACGGAGGGTAGCATCCCAAAAAGGACAACGGAGCCATGCTCATAAGGGTGACTTTGCCACTGCCTCTGTCCATCGGCCGGTCTCCCTCCTTTCCCTTTGCTTACCCTCCTCACCTTGCCACCAGCGCGCTGAAATTGCGGTCCATCCTCCCATTTTGCGTGCTCCGGTCTCATCGGGGTATGATGATCCACTCCGTTAGAAGAGGAACAGTGATGATAATAATTGTGGATGTGATCAGCGAAAAGAAAAAAAAAAAAAGGTCAGCCTCTGGTCTCGGGTGAGAAACATCCACCAAGATTAGAGAAGATTACACCCAGCGAACCCTTTTCCCCAGAGACAGGCTCGTAGTCACAGGCAGAAAACATGCTTTCTCCTTTGACATTACTTCCTGCTTTCTTACTATTCTTTGCTCACATGGCTATTTTCACTTATTATCATTATAAAGTCATCCTCATCCTACTTTGTTTGCTCCTTACTTCCTTCTCTCCCTTGTTTATTGGTTAGTCAGGCAGCTCGATGCTTCCTCCCCTGTTTTGTTCCATCGTTCTTTTCATTCCTTTGTGGCTTTTTTTTCCGCCATTATGGCCACTGCCACATCCTCCTTTGCTCTACTTCTGTTCCTGCAGTTCTCCTTCCAGATACAAATGTAAAAAAAAAAGAATGTTGTGTAACGCCGGCCTTCTTTTTGTCACAAAATGAAATCAATTTATCCGCCCTGCACTTTTCTTTCCCTCCTTACCTCAATCCAGAACCTGCCCTGCCTCTCTTGCTCTAGACCGTCTCATCTTCCGAGACCACGGGAGAGCTTTTGTTGAAAAGTACACAGAAGCAGACAAAAAAAAGCTACACAAGAGACACACAGGAAACACATTTTTCTGATTAAAACCGCAGAAGTTGGAGAAAAACAACGACAGCCTTTCACGCACAGGAGAGGCTTCCTTTCGTTGACCATTAATAAGACAGCCAGGATTGGGAGGGGGAGGGGAGAGAAAGGCCGCGAAAGGCCGCGAAAGGGCCCCGCCGAGGCCTCCGCGGCACCGCATGTCTATTGCTATTTGTTTACTGCTTTTCTACTCTGTCTTTGTCTCCGCTGCTCTCCCTCTGAGCATGTCCTTTCTTCCCAGCTTCTGGTCATAGAGGGTGGTCGCAAACAAACACAAATTAGGGCACCGGCTGCGGCGGGGCAGAGGTGGTGTTTGCTGCACACATCATAGAAATAAACGATGGTGTGAGGCAGAGCTCCTGCGGTAGGGGCTTTGCGCCCCGCGCGCCGCGTGCGTTCTCTCCTTGCCGCGCTGTTTGCCTCGCGCCTTCTCGCTCGTACTCCACCACGTCCAACATACTAATCCACACAGCGACTCCCCGGCAGGTCGGTGGCTGCGGGCCCGGGCGCTGCCTCTGGGGAAGAGGGTAAATATCAGAGAAGGTCAGGAAGGGGTGGGGCTCGAGAGGTGGAGGGGAAGCCAAATCAGTGATGACAAAGAGAGAGGGGGGCGGCGGGAGGGGCACCCAGTCGCTCAGGATCTGCCATCTTGGCTGGCAGGAGAATAACGCTCTGCCATGCCTGCATGTTGGTCTGTGTGTTGTTGAGCAAACATTCAGAGATCAAAAGATTACAAAAGGTGCAAGGGGTGTTCTGCCAGTTTTAGAGGTCCAAATGTTTAACTTTCAATATGTTCATCGTAAGACGCACCTTTTCACACATTCTGCTACATGTGATCAATGCAGCACCCGTAAGCTGCATCAGTCTTTATTGCTGAAAAACATTAGGAAATGAATATGTTTGCTTTTTTGTGCGATTAAGTATGACACATATTCCCCCATCGAATAAATTTGGCTCTGACAAGGTCTGTTGGCAAGGGACAAATGTTTAAAGTTGAAGCTTTTTAAATAGGCTGAAGTGGTAATTATAGCTGAAAAGGACTCAAAATTTGGAAATGAATGAAGTCATTTCAAAGTTAACACACATTCTGTACAGAAGCCAAACCTGTTGGTGTGAGTGTGTGTGCATGCAAACCGTCTATTATATTATGGCCTCCTATAAGTTGCAAGGATCAATCAAATAAAGGAAATAGAAGATTGGAGTGATCAAAGCAAATGCTCTAAACCGCCTTCCAAACAATAAAATGAAAAATGCCACACACAGAAACGGAGAAACACAGTCCAATAGGTCCGTTTCATCAGCAGGCTCAGCAGGAGGAACTCAATCTCCAACACTACCGTTCCTAGTTGTTTGTCATTTCGCCCGTGCAGAGGCAGAGGAGCTTCTACAAGAAATCCCTTCCAGATTATGATTTATTTCATTGGGCAACTGAAACGTGTGAGCCCCTACAGCACTGCTGACTGAGTCACCACCTTCTGTGTACATGCCTCTACGCAAGCATGTACGACACTCACACACACACACACACACACGCATTAAAAGACGAGTATTTCTAACATGTTGAATATGGCCGTGTTTACAGCTATAAAGCATATGTTGCGTGTCTGATTAAATCAAGCGTTCAAACGCTGTTGAGTGATGAGCTGGTGCTGGTAACAGCTGTTGCCATGCCATCATGCACAAAATGGCCTCAGATCTCCCTGTCCCATCATTATACCTGACCACCACAGGGGGAGCCTCCCCCCTGCTCCGCCTGCTCTGATACCTTTTAGTATGCTGTACCAGTCGACACCCAGTTGGTTTTGTGCAGAGTTATTATCACATACTCCAGTGATGAATGCAGAATAAATTAGTCAACACCGTCTAATTCGAATGCCATACTGGGAACGGGGAAATTGAAAAACAGAAAAGTGGAATAATTGCTCTTATGGAACATACAGTTACATAGAAATCGTTATGCAGCCCTTCCTCGTGTTTTTATCCCTCTCTTTTATTCCTCCTGCAGGGCGTAAGCTGAGGAAGGGCCGCCCGGCTCACCTGTGCCTGCTGACCGCCTCCTCTGCGCTTTAGCTCCGCCCCCTTGCCCGTCCCCCTGCTCAACCCCCAACATGGCTCGAGCAGCCTGGGTCATCTTCACCTGCGCTGTGGCTTTCAGCAACGTTGCTCCGTCCTCGCCAGGTGCGTCATCAACATTTTGAAATACATTTTATTTGTATTTAACTATTTAATAATGATCATTTACATATTCAGACCAAGGTACCGTTGTGTGTGGCTCCACTGAGCCAGCTTGTAATGCAGCGCACGAAATCATGTTGGGTTCACTGTAACTGGCCTGACCAGGTTGTAGCAAATGAGGATGTAATATTTATACCCCAGCTACGTGATAAAGGTTGTAAGTATATTTGTTGTCTTGCTGACCAGGCTAGAATCACCCTGCTTGATTAACCAAACGGCCTCTGCAGGGGATGGAGAGAGCTAGTGAGCTATAGTGCGAGCAAATGTCAATAAAATTTCTTGTCATCTTGATGTGAGTTGGAGCGTTGCAGGAATATAAGGGGTAATCCGTGCGTGTAATGGCGCCATATGTGTGACCCCCCCCACCCCCCCTTAAATGTGCCGTGTACCATGAGAAATTTCACTGTGTGTGTGATAGCTGTTAGCCGGGCAGCAGGTGACCTGGTTGGGCCGCAGTGATGCTGGAGGGCGTGTGTCTGTGTGTGTGTGTGTGTGTTAGCGGACGTGTAGGAGGGGAAGGAACAGGGATTGCAGAGAGAGGCGGAGGACTGAGGTGGGGTGGGAGGGGCTGTCGGGTGTCCTGCTAGTGGCCTGCCACGCAGACAGCGGCACACCATCTGCTGTGTGCTCTCAGTCATCTCCGTGCCAACGAGCTGCTGGCCGATGGACGGCGGCTCGGACGAGCAGGCGGGAGGAGCATCAGCCGGAGGCCCTGTGACTAAAGGGAGGGGCCAGTGATGATGACGCAGGAGGAGCGGACGGAACCCAGGGAGGGAGGTTAAAATTAAAATGTGTCTGTGGACGCCTGTGTCAGCAGCGGTTTTAGCTTTCCCTAAACTCTGATTAGCCAGGTGCACTTTCGATTTGAGTGGTTGCTGGCGTTTTTATAAATCTTAATTTGGCTTCCTTTTGTAACATTGGAAATGAGGAGCGTACGCTCTGTTCCATCGGACACATTTGGCCTCTGGCTATGTGTTTGTTTGTGTGTGTGGGTGGGTGTGTAAATAATCCAACTATCTGTGTGACCTGGCACTCGGGGGTATTAATAATGCATTAATAATCCATTTAATGTTTTCCTTCATTCAGCCCCAAAAGCACTGGCGGAACATTTGATTTGATGACATTTCATATTTTTCTAATGGAATCAGGCACACGGGCATGCACACCCACACCCTTCTGGTGATCGTAACGTTGGCAGCGTGAATTTTGCCTGCAATGTATGTATCTTTTTAGCCTCTTAGTGGGACCAGAGACCGGGAGAGAATAAGAAAATGAACCAGGGGGGGGGGGGGGGGGGGTCTAAAGGAAGAGGGCATGGTTTCTGATAGGACGAGGCCGAATCCCTAATCAGAGCTCATTTAGTAACCTGCTGGATCATCACACATGGCTTCACAGTCTAATGTGTACCTCTGCTCCTCCTGCGTGTGCCGAGCTAATCTGCCGTGCTTTAACCTCACTCTACTCCTGGCTGCACATTCTAATATTTACCCCTCGCACTCACACAGTTATTCTCCTCTTGAACCAGTACCGCCAATGCAAATGTTACGCACCAGCACCAGCTTTGAAGACATACTTCTCCCCACAGTCCTCACTCACCTGTCCCATTATATTGTTAAATCACAATTTCCACTTCCTCTTTGAAATGCAATGGCTATGTGAAACAAAAAAACAAACGCAAACTCAAATTAACCAGAGGCAAATAAAGTCTTGTTTCTTTGCAGTATGCACGAAAACTCAGGGCCGACGATCTAAATGTCCCGCAGAATCCACACTGCTTGATAATGTACAAGCCTTCGTACGTAGTGTCGCTGCTCTGAAAGCCCATTAGGCTTGCTTAATGTGGCAGGCATTGCAGGCAGCTGCGCCGTACATGATGAAGTCCTGACACAGAGCTTTCGTTTAGCACAGCACAAGCATCGGTGTGTGTGTGTGTGTGTGTGTGTGTGTATTTGTATTAATGTGCACCAGCGGTGAAACCGAGACCATAATGAGCCCGCTTGTGGGACATTTCAGTCCGTAATGTGTGTGAGTTGTGTTCATTTATAAGTATGTGCATTAATGTCCGTGAGCGGTAGGAATTTAGTTGAAGGGGTCTGCGTGCGTGACGCTCGTACCAGGAGACGCCAGCCGGTGGTGGTGGAATTTGTTCTCGTCTCCCCTTTATTTACGCCTCTGCTCTCTGATCAGTTGCGTGCAAAGGCCCCCGGTCCTTCGCTGCCATTTCTCCTGAACACAAGTTATTATTTAAGGATTTTGGATTTTCTTGTTACTTTTTTTTTAACGCATCTTCTCACCAAAGTGCTTCGGTCTCTCAGCTGTCCTGCGATGGTGGCAGTATGTGAACGGTGGCTGATCTCAATGCAGCATTTTGCTTTCTATAATGCAGCGGTAGGCAGTTATTTTCACAGTGGGCCGCATGAAGAATTCACAATGCCTCTTCAAGCCAGATGCTTTTTTATGACGGCGCTGGCAGTTATTTTGGATCTAAGTGTTGCTCAAAGTAAATAACATAATACTTGACCTGAAACCACATCCAATATTTAATTCCTGCACAGAGGGAGAGTAGACTTTCAGTCCCGCAATAGTACGATATTAAAATGATCATTTTAAAATTGCAACCTACTCACTAATTCATAAGAATTGATTCTCTGACAGTCTTGTGTATATTATCTATAAAGAGATACTGCAGCCAACCTTGCTGCTGTATGTGCACTTGGCTTCTTGATGTTGTATCATTTGCTGAACAGTACATTGCCGTAATGTGCACTTTTGTAGCAGAATAGTGAACTTATGCACCTGTAAGCTTCAGGCCCTTTGCTTTGCTCTTAGGTGCATGCACTTGCAGCTGTTAGGATTCTTTATTATCAATTTGGGAAGTATCTTTGTGAGAATCAAAACCTTTACAACAAATTGTAGCTACAATCGCATGTGCCATTAGTATAAGCTGCAGAATCACAGACAAACAAATTAACGACTTATTTTAATTTCAGAAAAAACAATTCAGAATTTTCAAGTTGCTAATATACAGCATTGTGTTTCATAGACTCAGAACTTGCTACTTGTGTATGGGTTTATGAAGAAAATGGCCTTTAAATATGTTTTACTATGTTTGCTGACTGCCATAAAGCTGAAATCTACAGCTCTAACTGACACTAATTGCTAATCTTGAGACTTGTGAATATCGCAGCGTATCGTAAAAAACTTCAGTAAAGCCTCCCCCCCCCCCTCTCCCTCCGGCTTCTCCCTCTTCTCCTCTGCATCTCCACCAACAGTTAGTGTTTCTCACTCCTCCCATTCAGCACTTATTTTTATCAAATCTCTTGGCTTTCCCTCCCCTAACACCTCAGCTATTACTCCCTCTCTCAGCATCGTGATGCAACCCCCCCCCCCCTCCCTCTCTACCCACCGCCCCCTGGATTCCCCCCTGTTTGCCGGCCTTCCCTTCCTATTCCCTCTGCTGCTTCCATTTCCCACCTCCTTCCCTTCTGTCCATTGCCTCACCGCCTTTTTCTATCCATCCTCCCTCCTCGAGTGTCACTCCCCTGGCTCTGCTTTCTTGCTGTACCCTCTGACTACTATCTGTTAATGGGGCGCATCTCTTGTTGTTATCCTGCCCTCCTTCCCTCCTTCCCCCTTGCCTCCCGTCTCTGTCTCCCCCCGCCTCCGCTGCTCCCTTCCCGGTGTTGGTGGTTGCTGTGCTCTTCAAAGCCCCTTGGCTGAGAGCAGTAGATCACAGAGAGGCCTGTGTGAGTGAAAGGTTAATGGATGGCCTTTGAACACATATTGGTAGTCGGGGGCGGGCGCGGGGAAGGAGGGAGAGGCCGGGGCGCCGCGCCGGTGTGTTCTTTCAAACCTCCCTTTGAAGATGACGCACAGTGCTCTCATGTGTCGCCGCCTGTACACACGGGCTGTGCCTTTTTTGTTTATTCATTCGTTCACTGTTAGTGTGCCAGTGTGTGTGTGTGTGTGTGTGCCCATTCAGTTTGTGTGTTTGCGTTTGCTTGTAGTTGTGTGGTATGTTTGTGTGTGTGTGTGTGTACATTGATTTGTGTACCGCAAACAAGCTCCTACTTAAAGGAATAGGGACAGTGTTGCTGTTTGTGCAGTCGTGTGATAGCTGCCTCTTTTCTCTCAGGGCCTCTAACTTTGACGCTTTGTAGGACTGCGTGCGTTTTGTGCGTGTGTGTCATGCATGTTGTGTGCATTTATATCTGAGAAAGCACTGGAGCACTTGAGATGCTGAACACTGTCGTAACCCACTGACGAACAGATCGATCTGCTCATAAACATGCACAGAACAACGCACCCAGACACACACACTCTGTCCACACATGCAAGCCTTTTGGCTTGGTGCACACGGAGGTTAATTAAGTGTCTAATGCAGCGGCAGGGCTGGGCTTTGACACTCATCTTTCCTAACTGGTCTCTGGATGCGACTTGCAACTCTTCCGAATGCGCACTCGCGTCTTCCCGACAGCAGGCCTCGCAGGGTATACTCACCCAGCCCTCCCCCCTCACCCCCTCCTCACTACTTCACACTGTATTTCTCACACCCACCCCTCTTTCTTATCACTTTATTTGCTACAGCCTCCAACCGCCTTCATAACTTTCCTCTCTCTGCTTCTCTATTCTCCCCGTTGCCGGTGGCTCTTCCCCTGCATCCCCTGCCGTTTTTACTCCACCACAATGTTTAAAAGCATCTAGGACTGACTGTCTGCCGGCCTCATGTGATTTGTGCTGGAAGCCGAGAACACAATAGAGCTGTGTTGGGTCTGTAGTGCATCTCCCTTCCCCGGGGATACAGAGGAGATTTTACACCAAGCAGGTGAATCTTACTTTTTTGGCAGGCTCATTCTTATTTTGGTTTATGCTGCTTTCCCCCCCTCTGAGGCGCTGTTATTGCATAATTAGGCGCCAGGGCCAGAAATTAAGTTGTTTAACAG